TTGCATGAATGCTCCAACACCCTTTTTTATTTCTCTTTAACCTATATTTATTATTATACTCGAATCAATAATTTCTGTTCTACAACAGTATCTGACTATCCAGTGGAGGCAGGGGAGTATGTACACTCTGTTCATATTGACAGAGATGAGCCAGTTCAGGATTTCACTTATCAAGAACATCTTCAGCAGGAAGCCGAGCAGGAGCTGCAGCCCGAGCCTGAGCCTGAGCTGGAACCCCAGGCTGATGGACTAGATGAGGGAACTCCTTATGAAGAACCTAGTCCCTTGCTTCAAAGCACAGCAACTGCTGTCCGAGAACCTCATCATTCTGTTGAGGAACCTATTGGAGAACCCGAGAAGCTGACCTATGCTTCTATAGTAAGCATAATTTTTGTTGAGCTAGTGCAAGAAATAAATAATTATTATGTCGTGAAATTTTCTTCTTTTATTGCCAAAGTACATGAAAAAGTAACAATTTAATGATACCTGATAATGAGCTGTGTAGAATTTTGCATGCGTTGGCTACAATTGCTGCATGACAGACGTACGTAATATTAGTGGGCAAGAAGATTATTCGTTTGTTTTGTACTTGTGTAATGTATGCTTAATATTGCTTGTAACTATATCTGATGGACTTGATACTAAAGTAGTTGATACCATACTGGCTCACAAAAATGATATTTGAGGCTTGCTTACACTGGAAGTTTTTTAATTGTGGGGATTACTCTTTCCTGGGTATTTGCATTGTTGAGTTCTGGGGAATTTGGTTGATAATTTATCCTATCTTCATTATTCATCTATCTAGCAAGATTACTATACTGAATTTATTACTCGATTTTGTACTTGAAGCTGAGGGCTAAAGGAAAAGCTCCACCATTAGTAAGTTTTCAGCCAGCTTTTACTCAGAGACCACCAGTTGCAGAATGGAACCATGTGTCGCAGCCTCCGCAGCAGCACTCAACACCAAATCCACCAAATTCTAGTTTAGATGTCACAGAAGATGCCTTATCATCACATGAGGGTATAGACTATTATTTTCCTATTAAGGAAAATACATTTCTTTCACTGCTTATAGGTTACTTCTGTTTAATCTAATCAATAGAATTTTCAAAAGCCTAAGATCCTCTGTCCTTATACATTGTCATCTTTATTGCAAATTTATTAACATTTTTCTGCTGGTGCCACATTTTAGGCCACTTTCTGTTAGATTGATACAGTTTGACTGCATCTATTTTATGTATTACAGTTTACAGTTATCTATTCTTTGGGTTGTAAATTTTTGTTTGTGTGTGTGTATGTGTGTTTTTTTTTTCCTGGCATGTCTTTTTACCAAAAAGACTCTCGGAAGGATAAGGTTTATCCAGACATAGTATTTTGCATCCAAGTTTCGTACATGGATTAAAACAACATTCTTTGATTGTTTTGTTACATTATGTGTTACTATAAGCATATTTTTTTTTTTT